AATAAAAGTTTGTTTGAAATTTGGAAAAAATTTTCTTTTTGGTTATGACGTGCAGTTGAATTTAGATTCTTTTTATTTTATTTAAATGTTTGAATGGAAAAAGTGATTTAAAGAATAGAAAAACTCTTTGAACGGAAGAATGAAATGCTAGAGAGATTTTTTAGTGGATATGGGATTGGCAGGAAGAAACTGTAGGTAGATAGTTAGAATAAAAGTGATGGTAATTTATCTCAAATCTGTTTTTTTAGGTGAAAAGAAAAATTGAATAATATATAGAAAATGAATAAATTTGTAGATAGGTAATTAAAAAAAGTATGAGTGAAGTGGTAAAATGATTTACGGGAAGGCAGAATTTAGTAGTACCTCTTTGTGGTCGAGGGGCACTGATGGATACAACCTAAGAGCCTCGGACAGTGCTGCATGCAAGTAGTCCATCCTCTTCACCTCCTCCGGCCGGAAAACAAAATCCGGTGCTGGTCCTGTCTGATCTCCTCTTTCTCTGACTATCCCACATATCTCTGCCAGAATCTTCCCCTCCACCTCGGGACTCCCATTAAGCAACCAGAAAAACCAGCTCAACGCCACGGACGACGTGTCCCTCCCGGCCAGTATGAAGTTGACGCACACGTCCCTCAAGAAAGAGTCGGATAAAGGCTGCCCTTCTTGGTCCATCAATCCCATGAACAGCGTCAGCAGATTATTATCTGACTTTAGATTTGTGGACAACTCCAACTCCTTCCTCCTGGCGCGTATGACTTGGTGCGCGAAATCATCGACTGCCCTTACTGACTCCTTGAGCCTCCCTTCGGACCCCAACCCAAACCGACTCATTCCTCTCCAAACAAGAGTCGGCATCATGAAGCGCAAGATGGATGCCTCGGTCGCAGCCTCGAAGGCCCGCGCGAATGGTATTTGGGGCAGGCCGGGCCTTAGGCAGCCAGGGTCCACTCCAAAGGCTATCATGCACACGTTGTCGAAAGTCAACCTGAGGAGGATGTCTTGGAGATCGACTACCGACTCGGAGGCCTTCGACTCCTCGAGGATGGGTAGAAGGCGCGAGTGAACTAGGTCGACCAGCGACTCCCTAGTCATCTGCCTGAACTTGGCAGAGTGGAACTCCAGGCTGGCGGTCTTCCTCTGGGCTCGCCACTCTCCGCCATCCGCGTTGAAGATGCCGTCCCCGAGGAAATCACGCAGCGTGCTGCGCAAGTATCCTCCCTTGGGGAAATTGTGGAACCTTGTCTTCAGGAGGTGCTCCAGGTTGCGCGGGTCTGCAGTGACCACGCAGTGGAGGTTGCTGAATGTGGGGCCTATGAACACGAAAGTCCCGTTGTTTTGGCGGGAAAGGAGGATGTGGGTGATCCACTCGTACACGTTTCCCAGGAGAGCGAGGAGGAGGGAAGGGAGCATGCCGAGGAGGGGCCAGCAAGGGAGGCCGTGCTGGGATTTCTGGCGGAGGGAGTGTATGGATATGAACACTAAAATGGATGCCAATAGCTCAACCGTGTGCATTTCGGAAAACATCAGGTGGAGGATATTGTGCATATTTCCGGCCGCATTATTGGGGAAAATTGAGGAGGATGAGGAGGAGTTCATCGTCGTGATTGTGGGTGATTGATGAGTAGTATATTGGAGAATTAATGATGATGGATTGTTGTGTTGTAGTAATAAGTGAACAAGGGTGCTCATATCTTGGCGTGCATGAGGATGGGCATTGGTTTTTATTCGGTGAGCGGAATATTTCTTATTGGAGGGTTTTCCAAGATTTAGACTTGCAAGTATGATGCGAGTGTTAGGTGTGTTTGGCGCATTTTGGTGTTCGTGCACGAAATATAGGAATGGTTTCCACATATAGTTGCTTTCTTAAAATGGAGATGTGGATAAGAATTGTCTTATAATATTTCAAAATTCCTCCGGTATCAGCTTTTCTTTATTAAAGTATTTTCCGAGTGTTTGGAAGATGAGAAGTTGGTGTCTGACAGTTGACCTAAGTTATGTGAGTGAACCACACCACCTGGACTGTGACAAATATTGCTCACACGCTTCCCTTTCCGGTAATAAGACTGTTGGTTGGCTAACAACACAAGAATATTTGATTTCCTTTTGGTTCACTTATTATGGTTAACGAACTATATGGAAGCGACGTGTTAATTCACTTATAGGCCAGCAA